GGTACATGTTTCTTCATCTTTAGTGGGGATGGGAGATTTTAAATCTTTTGGAGAGCTATTGTTGCATATGCATGTTACATTCTTAAACTAATAATCTTTTATATGAACCCAACCTTCAAATAGAAGGAGAATGAAAAACACAATCTTAACAGTTTAACCAACCAAAACCATGCCGATTTGATCATCTCTCTTGCAGGTAAGTTGGCCTACAGATTGAAGAATGAAGGGGCTAAGGTGGGAATATGTTATCTGAGTTTCTCTGTGGCTATTATTTTATTCTCTGAATTAAAATTTGTCGATCAGTTTGGAGAACCAATTGCTGAAAGCCCCAACTGTTCTGATAGCTTAAACCCACTGGATTTCCTTCTTCCATGAAGGGCTTGCGTCTAAACTTTCATTTGGGACCAGTAACCACTTTATTGTGACCTGTTTGATTGAGGTCGTAGAAGAGAAGCTTCAAAAGTGGCTGTTTCATCTGCATATTGAACAGCTCGTTGGGTTGAGTGCTTCTTATTTTCAAATATTAGTGAATGGTTCAGTATGCTTTTGACACTTCCCCAACATCCTACATGCTTGATAAAAACGCGCCATTTAAATTTCTCTTTCAAAAGGCAACCTCATTTTTCCTCCCTCTCTCTCTCATTGTATTTGGTGTGGCTATCAACTCTCTGATTTAGTTGCTTTCTTTTGAAGTAAACTAAAAGGATTATGGCGTTGTTCTGTTTGAAGTATAATACTTGCTGGTATATTGCCTTCTGTCACTTCAATACTGCACGGGAGAATCATACATCTCTCATGTTTGCAATTCTAATAGGTATTGATGGCAGCTGGTGATACATTTAGAGCAGCTGCCAGTGACCAACTGGAAATATGGGCTGAGAGGACTGCATGTGAGATAATTGTTGCTGAAAATGAGAAGGCCAAAGCATCATCAGGTGTAAATGGATTTGTATTGGTCTTCGAAATCTACTGTTCATATTCAAGTTTCGTAGCATCTGCATTTGAATTACACTTTGTTTCTAGTCTTTGTTACTGTTCAGTGCTACAGATGATATGTGATGGATAAAACTTAAAGCTTATCATATTACTTGCAGTGCTATCACAGGCTGTTAAAAAGGGGAAAGAACAAGGTTATGATATTGTATTATGTGATACATCTGGACGTAAGTGAAGAAACTCAATACTAGCTACTGTGTACTTCACTGAACTCCTTTGGTGGTTTTATATTTGTAATGCTGTTCACTTTTGTCCTCTCAGGTCTTCACACCAACTACAGCCTAATGGAAGAGTTGATTTCTTGTAAAAAGGCCGTTGGTAAAGTAGTTGCTGGTGCACCCAATGTAAGCTCAAGTGGCTGACGCATTCAACTTTTTGCTCTTCTTAATTCTCTGGTTGCTGGTAATTGGTAGTTTTTTAGGCAGCTAATTAGATCATACCTCAAAGTTCTTATCCATTGCCAGTACTGTGTGATGTGGGGATGCAGAAGTAACAAACAACCTGAAATCAGAGTTGTAGTTCACAGTGAATGGCTAGAACTGAGTATTAGGGCTCCAAGATAACCCCTCGATCTGTGACGTTGAAGAAAATATCGAGAACTGTATTAGAGAACTATCAGATGCAAACTCATAAGCATTTAAGAATGTCTCCTAGGAAGGGAAGGGACCGCAATTCTGGGGTTTGATTGCATTTGAGCTGAAATTGATTCCTCTAAGAGAGAAAACAAACAGAGAAATATAGTCTTTTTTAATGAGAAACCCAAATGAACCTTGCAGAGGTTAATTAGTACCTATTTGTTGCACAAAAAAATAAATAAATTAGACAATTGAAAAGACTGGACTAAAGGACAACATATAAAACCCAAAGAAAAACCTTACTGCACCCTCTAGAGGAATCTAAAGCCAAGACCTCCCAAAAAGTCTTGGCTGCTATTAAGAACCTGTGTACAGTAGTGGTCATTGCATGAACAATAGCATGAAAAGTGGTCAAGTTCTAGATAATCTAACTGGGTTGGTTGGTACGGGTCGGCATGTGATTTGTTGTTAGATCCAATGGTTTGAATTGTAATCCTAGTAGACCAGTTTCTTCAGGCCAAACTATAGGAGATTTCCTTGTGAATCCCCTGATTATGATTTGGAACTTGTTTAGTCAATCAGCTTTCTTCGTTATAGTTGGGGTCTAGGGGAGATGAAGGGATCATGTAGTCTTTGGTACATTTGGAATTTGTTCAGGATAATTTATTATAACTCGTTTTATATATTTTACCAATCATGTATGAACTAGAATATTTGATGTATACCTGGCGCTCGTGCCAATCATGATATGGCATTTAAAATTGTGCTCGAACACTAGAATATCTTGTCGTGTCATGGTGCTCGTATCACATTCTGTTTCGTATCCATGTCATTATCAATGCCATGGATCGGGTTGAAGCTGTAGCTGTCTTCACATTAAATCCTGTTATCCCTTCCAAATGTTCCGAATCACTTTCTTGGTATAAGAACCTTTTTTTTTTTTTTTAAAGCTGTCTTGATCGAGTTTTGACAATATTTGCAGGAGATTCTTCAAGTTTTGGATGGCACTACTGGTTTGAATATGTTGCCGCAAGCACGAGAGTTTAATGACGTAAATCCACTCCTGCTTTCTAAATTGAGTATTTGTCTTAATATTTCTGTTTTAAAAAGACTATTTTACATATTTGAAACCCTCTTGTAACCATATGAAGATCCGCGTAATTTAAGTATACGGAATGGACATGCTATTTTTGAAGTTGAGGATCTGGATATTAAAGATAATTTCGATGCTTCCTCCATAATATTCGCTGCAATGATCAAAATGATGTAAATTATTTGAGTGTGAATCAAGAGTTCTAGCTGGAATATCCTCCGGGAAATCATGAGATTTTATAGGTCTATTTGTTGTGGAATGTGTTTAATTTCCTTCAATCTGCAGCCAAATGAATGTTCTGCCACTTGCATATGCTTTATTTGAGGGTATGGTATTGCTGAGTGTTTCTAACTCCTCTTTTCCTTGATTGTTTCAACTATTCCTGCCCATGTATCAAGGCCTGATCGACAAACCTCTGATTTTATTTGGTGTAATCGGTGACTCTTTCTTTTAATTCTGAAATGGATACAGGTTGTTGGTGTCACTGGTTTGATTTTGACGAAGCTAGATGGTTCTGCCAGAGGGGGTTGTGTGGTAATTTGTTGAATTTTGACTGATGTTTCTAGTTTATATGGTTGGGGCTCAAAGTAAATATTTATTGCCTAGAATTAACCCATGAAAGTATTCGTTATTGGTATTTTTTCTCATTATCGGACATGACGCGGAATATGATGGTTTTTTTCTGATGGCAGGTCAGTGTGGTAGATGAACTTGGAATCCCTGTGAAATTCGTGGGTGTTGGGGAAGGCGTTGAAGACCTTCAACCTTTTGATGCAGAGGCCTTTGTCAATGCCATATTTACGTAGTTCAATTATAGGTTTGTGCATCATGTAGCCAATTTGTGCTTTACATTATGTTTTTTCTTTTTTTGAGTGGATGCTTTGCATTATGCTAATAATACAGAAAATAGTATAATCTTCTCCATGCTTTTGTTTTTGGCAGGATTGCATACGGTCATCTGGATTTATTGGTTGAACAAGTTGACTGAAGAAAGAATGCAGTGTCCCCGGGGTTAGACCACGTTTTAGAAGACCAAGCAGACGGAATATACCAAGAGCCAGTAGTATATTGACATTTGAGGGGTATGAGATGATTTGCATGTCTGTGGCTGCCAGACATTTTCTGTGGGACTAGGAGAGAATCGAAATTAAGAGGAACATCCCCGTTTGTTGTGTATATTGAGTGATACCGTGCAAATGTAAGCAGTAAATTCATGCTTCTTTGCCTGGAATGAAGAGGGACATTCCCTTTGATTGGAGTGTACTTTTTTTAATTTATAATCCTTCTTTTTTTTTTTTTTTTGGTTGGACTGGAAATTTAGAACGCTCTTCAGTTCTTAGTTTTTATGAGATCAATCGTGGACATCTAATCGTTCGCGGTTTTGAGCAAAATAAAAAGGGGGGGGGGTTGGAATTGAGATTCTATTTGACTTTAAAAGAAAATATATTAAGCTATGATCCTATTTAATCATTATACTAGGGTTAAATTATAGTACATCCGGTCCTTAACATAATTGCTTGATTGATTTTTATTTTAGTTTTAAATATAAGCTCTTGATTTACTTTGTTTTTCATATTTATCCATTTTTTTCTCAAGATAGTCTTTGTAATAATAGTAGTTTTAACCAATACACTTGATTAGTAAGAATATTTTAAAAAAAACACATATTTATGGTAAATAACTAATTTAACTAGTTTTATTAATTTAATCAAATTAGATAATTAGCTCATATACTGAGGACCAAAGGTAGTATTCGGTTTGTCTTAGATATAAGACCTCCGTTCAATTTGTTTATAATATCTATTCATTTTGCTTTTACATAATCTCTATGATGATCACACATGTCAAGTATTAAGAAGCAATTTAAATGCACATAATTAATAAGACTATTTTAAAAAAGACATCTATTTATTATAAATAATTAATTTAACTAATTTTTTAAAAATATTCACTAATTAGTTATCTAACTCTTATATTAAGAACATGAGGTAATAATACATTTGGTTTTTTTTTGGGGTATTTTTTTTCCCATTATATTCTATCTCTTTCTCTCAGTAGCATTTTCTTCATACAAAAAAAGAAAAAAAGAAAAAGAAAGAAGTAGCAATTTCTCAATTATCAAGGCAACAATGGCTCCATCCTCTTGCATTTGGTTGCTCGTCTTTCCTTCATTTCTAAACGTTTCTGCTTGCCCTTCATAAAAGGCTCGAAAGAGGCCCATAGAAAGGGGAGGCAAAAACTAACAGAAGAAAACGTGATGGTACGTAATGATTGAAGTTTAAGACTCGGAACACGAAAGGGAAGGAAAAGAGAAAGCAGAGAAGTAAAGGAGGAGAAACCACTCAGCAACAGCCCCAAATACGCTGAAGGAGGAGGAAGAGAGAACAGAACTATGATAAGTATTCCTAATTGATAAAGTCAAGGCTTCTAACACAAACGTAGCATAACAAGACCGAAAACTCTGAATTTGACAGTGAATAATCATTATGCCAAAGAGCAGATTGAGAATCAACTCTTAGTATGTTCAACAGAAACTTCAATGTTCATAACTTGGCAACTGGCAGGTTGTAGAAGGTAGCACGAGCAGCGTAGATTAACTTCCCTGTTTTCTTTTGTTTAAACTCAAGTAAAACCACAGTCACGTTTCTCCCACTTTTCACCAATGAGCCATCGACTTGCAGCTCGGTCTGCAAACAGATTTAGGCATAAAAGAGGAGCATGCATCAAACATCGAAGTCCTTCCTAAGAAATAATCAAGAAACGCGATTCACACAAACATGCACAGTGACAATAACACGTGCAATTCCTCGATTGAAGTGTCTATTCTTCCAAAGCAATAGCGACCTATAAATGGCTCGTGGCAACACGCAATTATATTACAAACTCTTCAAGTTTGGAGAGCCACAATACGAGACTGGAAGGGATACCACGCGTCAGGCAAAGGCAACTACCAAAGAGCATATTGAATCAGTAAGCAATTCAAATTCAAAACCTTTCATGTAGACTAGTGTTTTATCCACACTTGATCCTCAAATGGCTTTGGTGTGAAGGGCCAAAGACCATGACTGAAACTATTTCTAGACTTCTAACTTAACAACTTTAGCTTTAATCTTGTTTCATGATGGCACGATGAGCCATTTGAAGGATTGAACTCCATATATAGTAATAATACTGATCTACAATACATGACAGTAGACGGGTAAAAATTCAATACAAAACAACTCACATTCAGCATGGCGCCAGATAGGTAAGCCATGGAAATTTCCCCAAGGAAAAGTTCCTTATCCTCAGCCATAACAGTTCTAGCGCAGGCAATTGACACCAATTCAACTGCAGCTGCAAAAGCCCCTCCATGCAGGGATTTGAAAAAGTTCTGCAATTCCAATGAAGAGAATGAAAAATTAAATCTGCAGCTGAGATGACAACGGGAGGAGTCAATATCATTCCCCCTGAATGCTGCAAGTTGAATCAGTAAAGACAACTTTTTAAGAATGCTAGTAGTTTTGCAATTCATCGTTTTTTATTTTTTTTTTAAATGTGAAGCCATTAATATGGAATTCCGAAACACAACTTCATCACCACTTTCCTCAGCTACCTATCAAATGCAAATACAGGATACAAAAGATTACACTGAGAGGGGGTTTGACGATGAAGGTGCAAGAGATTCGGCCCCTTTGGATACTATCGACCTTGAGACAAGAACGAAGGATGTCGGAGTAGAAGTCGTAGGAACCGCAATTTGCAGGAACAGGCTTGGTGATTCCTATGGCTTCCAGAAAAGATCGCGTCGAAGAAACATGCTGGGGTTCCATTTCCTTAGGATATTTTTGGGGAAAGAAATGAAAAATGTTGACTTTGCAGAGTAGAATGCCCCCAAGCAAAAGAACCCCAAGATTAAAAGACCAATACCAGGTGAGTAAAAAACCGGTGATGCCGAGGTGGGTGATGGTAACGCACTTCTTGTTTGTACTATCTTTTCAAGATTCAAGACTCTAGTGGTATTTGCTAATGTACTGAACTGATTGCTTTTGTGGTAAACAAAAAGAAGAAGAGGAAGAAGAAGACGCCCATTGGAGTCGTCAAAAACTACTTCTTAATTATAAGAATCAGTTGACTAATTTAAAGAGATTAAAAAAATAAATTGAGTTAGTTATTTGTTCTAAATATGTTTTGTCTTTTCTAAAATATCCTTGCTAATCAAGTGTATTAACTAGAATTATTATTATTAAAAAGACTATTTTGAAAAAAAAATGTATAAATATGAAAGACAAAGTGGATTGATATCTTATATTAAGGACCCGAGGTAGTATTTTAGAAGTGTTTTTATATCTTAAGATAAAATTTTTTCATATCCTTACTTCATAAAATTACTTTTAAAATTATAATTTAATTTATAACCAAACACTCCCTAAACCAAATCAAAGGAAATACATGAGCTAGCAAGTTACGAATATTAGACAAAACAAAGGAAATACAAAGACAAACCGGTTGATCTTAGAAGTGATCAGTGACGTAAATTTATGAGTCTCAAATGGAGGCATAAATAAAAACACAAGCAAACAAGTCACAAGGCATTAAAACCAGCTGTCGGTACTTTCTTATGCGGGCAGGAGAACATGGTCAGAAATTCAAAACGGAGTCCGTTAATCTGGCAATTGGCATGCTGATAAATATATATATATATATATATATATATATATATTTATTTATTTATTTTTGCGGCTGCAAGTTGATATCTTGACCCAAGGGGTCTGTCTCCTGCAGCCTCATTAATACGAATATTTGGGCCCAAAGGATTGAAAACAGAACTGAAGGCAGGCTTTTGGACCTAATGTTGAAATGGGTATGGATTGTAATCAATTCACATCATCTGAAAAACATTAAAGTAGCAGTAAGGTTACCCGGGGAAAAAAAAACAAGAAGGTAGGAGGGTGTTCACCGAAAATAAATAAATATATAAATCAGTCTCAAGATAAGGTTGCCTTCAGTAGGAAATATTTATACTACTTGTAAAATAATAATAGTAATAATAACCACAAGGCTCCGAAGGAAGCGGAGTTGGCAAGATCAATTTGGCTATTTTTTATATTTCGAAAGTATAAACGAGTTTCTCGGAATATTGAATTAGAAGTTTATAACCACCTCATAATGCAATGATACCTGCGGAAAATTCCAGTATTCACTTGCTCGGTTTCCTTTATAAATAAAGCAAGGGAATCTGGATTTACCCAATCTTATTTAAGAAGAAAAAAATTTAGGGAATGCGAAATCGTCAACCAGCCGTAGTTTTTATATATATTACGAATATAAAAGCATTTTTTGCCAACAAAACATTAAAAAAAAAAAAACTGGATTTGGATATCCTTATGATTAGAATAACAAGACACAGTTCAGACAATGTCAAAATATGTTTTCAATTGAGTATTACTGTCACCATTTGTTTTCTCTATTTTGTTGACATTTTTTTTGTTTGTTCTTTTTTAAACAATTCTTTTACGGTCTAGTTGTTTCAAGATACTATAAATCAATACATTTCAATTATTAGCATTTGATTAGAGAACAAAAGTAAAATAAAATGAAAAATAAAGATAATCATATTTTAATTTTATTTGTTGGCCAAAAAGTATTTTAATTTTATGCCATCGAGGCGACAGCAGTTTTGGGAATTTTTAGTCGCGGTTTAGTCAACGCATTTTTAAAAAGAGAACCTCCATTAATGTTACTCTAAATGGTGATTGGTCTTTCGAAAAGGAAAATACTCGTTGGTCTTTTTTCATTTCTCAAGAGATAAAACTCAGTTACTAAATGTTAAGTTGTGATTTTTCCTATTTATAACACAATTTTAGTATGTTTCCTATAAATTAAGAAAAATTTTAAACTGTATTAACTTTTTATAAAAATCTATTTAATATATATAATTTAAAAAAAAACTATTTGTACTATATAACAAATAAAGGACAAAATAATATATTTATGATAAAAGTTTAATAAAGTAACATATAAATAGGATAAAGAAAAATCTTCTCTTCCTGTCTTATAAATAGCAATAACTAGTATTTTCTTCCATATAATATACAGAGGGAGAAAAACATATATGGTAAGAGAATAGATCCCAACATAACATTGGGGTTCTTTTGATGGTCAACCTAATTAATGTCAAGAGAGATAAAAGGAAAGAAGGGAAAAGAAAAGTATAATAAGAGGGAGAAAATGTGAAGGTTACCTTATCCTCTTTTCTCTTTAGCATCTCCTTTTCAAATCACCGAAGCAGAGGATTTAGATACAATGTATGTCGAGAATTCAGATAATCAATATAGGAGATTTGAGTTGGATGCTTTCCAACAATTATTCGATCTGTATATGTTCAAATAACAGTTTGCCAAAAAAAAAAAAGATTAATTAATTTAAAAGTTTAAAAAAGTCAGCAAACAACAGGTAGTAAGTGGTAACATGATAAAGAAGCTGAAGAGTTGCGTGCTGCTTGCTGCTTGCTGCAGTTATGTATATAAAAGGCCACCAATCACTTGGGAGTATGCAAATGCGATCTCTTTTTTGGGAAGTCCTAAAGAAAAGAGAAACTCATTTGGTTTAGAGTGAGAAAAAGAGAGTGATAGGAAGAGACAAGTAAATGTCATTGTAATCATTCACAAGCTTTGCTCTCCACCTCTCTCTTCCAGAACCGTGTCTGCATTGGTCGCCATCAGCCTGGTCTCTGTTTCTCAGAAGGTGATTAACTGTGAATTTCTTTCCGGGTCTTCATCTTCAATTAACAGAATTACCTGCAGGTTTCATAATCTTTGTCATTCTCTTCTTCTTCTTCTGCTCCAACTAGCTTTCTTTATCATTTAAATTTGCAGGTTTCGTAATTGCGAAAAAGATGAAGAAGCAGATTTTCATGCTGCGGTGGTTTGGAATCATGATCATGCAACTCTGCTTCTTGCTGGCTGGTTCTTCTGATGACAACATATCAGATAGGTCCTCCATCGCCTTCTCCTTCTTGTCTCTTTTTTTTTTTTTTTTAAATTGTATATATAGCTTAGATGCTTTTGCTTTAATGGTGGCACTTTAAGAGCGAGAGAGAGAGAGAGTTTAAATTAAGATATTCTGTACAGATGCTAATGTTATGAGTTGTTGGTTTCCATAAGTTTGTATATAAATTCTTGGTTTCCATGAGTTTATAGATAAACATATTGCAAAAGAAAGATAAAGAGTCACGGTTACTTGTCTGATATGTAGTGGTCTCTTGTCACATGCATGAGAAGTTTTGAAACTCGAGGTGTCTTTTTATTGGGCATAATGAACCTAGGAGCTTTTCCCTTGCCTAGGAAATTAGCCATGCATGCATTGAGGCGCCTTTTGAACCTTCATCATATCACACTCTTCCTTCTTTGCATGCCTCCCGTCCAATCAATAATATTATAATAGTCTTCACATTTCGGCTGAATATTATTATGCTTTGATTGTAAGTTTTTGAGTTTGTTGTTTATGATCAGCAGTGCTGCGGTTAAGCTGAATGCGGAAGATCCAGAGCAAGTGGTCATTGACAATGGCATCGTCCAACTCACTGTGTCTAAACCTCAAGGCTATGTCATTGGAATCTCATACCATGGAATCGACAATGTCCTAGAAACTCGTCACGCATTACACGACAGAGGGTACATACTCCTCGCCATCTTGTTCTTTTAATTAGCTTTTTCTAACAATTGAAACAATTCCTGTGTTCATGTTGCGCAGGTATTTTGATGTAGTTTGGAATGAACCAGGAAAGAACAGTATTGCTCAAAGGTACATAATCATGTTTGTCCTCTTATATATATATTAACTACAAATAAAGCGGTAACGCAAGCTAATCTTATTGCACCCAACTCATTGAACTGATTATTTAATTACAACAATATAAAACCCTGCACTGCAGAATCAATGGGACCCATTTTTCAATTGTAGCGTCCGACGAGAGCCAAGTGGAGGTTTCGTTTGTAAGGACATGGACTTCCTCAATGCAAGGCACTGATGTGCCCATTAACATAGACCAAAGGTGGAATATTATATATTCTTAATTAGTTTCTCTCTTTTCATGCCATACAAAGAACAGACACTTGCATCCCTTACATATTCACGCGTTGCTATGTGGGATATATATTTGATTTTTCAGGTATGTAATGAGGCGAGGCAGCTCTGGATTTTACTCTTATGCAATATTTGAGCGTCCACAAAGTTTTCCAGCTGTGGAGGTTGATCAAGTTAGGACTGTCTACAAGCTCCAAGAACACAGGTAAGTTACTGGTAAATTCATCAAGGAAAACAACTTAAACTAATATGGAACAAATAAAGTAGGGAAATTTATTAATTAGAATATAATCAGATTGTCTCATGTATTAGGGAGCCAAGTCCTACCGTTCGACATTAGTAAATAGTATGATTTTTTTTTTTTTTTTGCCAACGAGTATGATTTCTTATAAATCTTATACACACTTTAAATAAAATGCACGAGTATATACATGACTACTTATCCATGACCTTGGAACATCAGAAGCAGCTAGAATAAATAACATTTCCTCCTAGGACTTGAGTTAAGCCAATGTGACAAGGGTCTGGGAGAAAGTGAGGTGGACTATGAAGGAATCTTCTAATTCACGGGACGAGTTTAAGCTTTAAAGCAGTTGCTGGTGCGGCAGTCTGTATGTGTACGTGACGACGCAAGCGACGACACAGAACTAATCAAAATTTTTTGGGGTCTTCCCAAAAATCAAATTGATGGTGACATATGGCACTAAAAGACATCTTGAAATTGCTAAAAAGCCGGCAAGGAAATCAATATACCTGTGTATCGTCATTGTAGATTGATCCTAGAAGCGGGGAATCGTTAAATATCAGATAAAGGCTTCAATAACATGAGTTCCACAGAAAATAATAAAAGAGACAAAGGAGAGAATTTTGAGTTTATGAGGTTTAAATCTAAGCAGGACTGAATTTTTAGATGGTTACGTACTATACAGGTTTCATTATATGGCTGTATCAGACAATAGGCAAAGATTCATGCCAACCATGGAAGATAGAGAGAGTGGGCAAGTTCTAGCTTATCCTGAAGCTGTTCTCCTAACCCTCCCATCCAACGAGGACTTCAAAGGAGAGGTACCTGCCTCCCCTATATGTGAATCTACATAGCTTTGTTTACAAGAATGGGCTTACAATCTAGTTAGAATTTGGTTGTTCGTGTAGGCCCAGCACTTGATTATGATATAAATCCTGTGCAGAGCACTGTTTGTTTTGATTTGATATAAAACTCCCGTGAACAATTGAGTGCATGTGGTGGGTTTAGGTGGACGACAAATATCAGTACTCTTGTGAGAACAAGGACAACAGAGTCCATGGCTGGATTAGCTTTGATTCTAAGGCACCTGTAGGCTTCTGGATGATAACACCAAGTGACGAGTTTCGCAACGCTGGACCCACTAAGCAAGACCTCACCTCTCATGTGGGCCCCATTACCCTCTCGGTATGAGAAAGTTAGACAATACTACAAACGTTTGGCTTTGGAAGCAGCTTTCTGGCATTGATCTTACACTTCATATATTTCTTTTGTTTTACTGCATACCATAACATATAGTAACTTGACACAAAATTTTGTGGCTAACAACATAAAGTGAAACTCAAAAGTACAATAGTGCGGGTAACCTTTTGTTTTCCCATTTGATTTTGTTGGATTTGAGTTACATGTAGATGTTTGTAAGCACCCACTACGGTGGGAAGGAGGTAACCATGGCATTTCAAGAAGGGGAGACCTACAAGAAGGTTTTTGGCCCTGTTTTTGTGTATCTGAACTCTCTTTCAAGCAATGAGGATCCACACACGCTTTGGCCAGATGCAGTGCAACGGGTAAATTAATCGATTGATCAGTACCAATTTTTTCTCATCAAACAATGTCATAATTTCTCGTCTGGTTCAATCAGATGTATAAGGAAGCCCGGAGCTGGCCTTATGATTTCCCACATTCACGGGACTTCATTCCACCAACTCGACGGGGAAGTGCGATTGGAAGATTAATAGTACAAGATCGGTATAACCGAGGAGGGAGACTTCTATATGGTGAATCTGCTTATGTTGGTCTGGCTCTACCCGGTTCTGAAGGATCATGGCAAAGAGAAAGCAAGGTACGCAAGGGTTGCCAACTAGCCACTGAAATTGGAGAAAGACGCTTCATAATTGAGACCTACGTTACCTCTCCGTTTAATTTTCTTTATAGTTGCATGAACTGCATAGTAGGAAAGAAAATAGTAATTGTTTATTTGCAACAGGCAGATTTCTTAATCTTGAACCCAAAATTTCTTTCTTATGGTGTCTATATAGGGCTATCAGTTTTGGACACAAGCTGATAACAAGGGCTATTTCATGATCAAGAATGTTATACCAGGGCACTATAACCTGTTTGCGTGGGTTCCTGGCTTTATTGGTGATTACAAGCATAATAACATGATCACTATCACGTCAGGTCCGACATTCTGTTCATTTTTCCGTCTGGTTTATTTTGATCGAAACCCAAATTTCAGAACTTGCTAATTCACTTGTTTTGTACATTTATAGGCTCTCTAATCAAATTGGATTCACTTGTATATAGTCCTCCAAGAAATGGTTCTACCCTTTGGGAAATTGGATTTCCAGATCGCACAGCTGCAGAATTCTATATCCCAGACCCTAACCCTAAATTCATCAACAAATTATACAAAGAACAACCTACAAACAAGTTAGAAACCATATATAACCCATTTATAGTTGCTACCAAATATGCATATATACTTTCTTTACCTTTCATGCGGACAGTAATTCGTTTCCTTGACACAGGTTTAGGCAATATGGACTGTGGGAACGTTATGCTGCTTTATATCCTCATAATGATCTAGTTTACACTGTTGGAGTTGATAGGTATGATCGAGACTGGTTTTTCGCTCATGTTACAAGGTACTTTAATTTAAACAATGCAGTAATCTAAGGCGATATATATATTGATATTGTTAAACTTTTGTTACTTTAATAAATTTGGTGTGCATAGGAGAATAGGAAATGGAGTATTTCAACCAACGACATGGCAAATTATATTTGAACTTAAAGACAATGCAATCAGAGGAAGTTATACTCTGCAGTTAGCCCTAGCGTCAGCCACTCATTCTCAATTGCAGGTACCGACTAAAACATGTTTCTTTGGTCATTAAAATTCTCTCCAAAAGCATATAATTAAAGATAGATAGATATAATGACAAGACTCACTTGCAGATTTGGTTGAATGAGGAAGGTGATAATCCTGCACTATTTGAAAGAGTAAATATGGGAGAAGATAATGCAATAGCAAGGCATGGGATCCATGGATTATATTGGTTGTTCAGTATTGATATTCCAAGCGATCGTTTAGTGAAAGGAAGAAATACTATTTATTTAAGACAGTCAAATGCCACTAATCCTTTCCAGGGAGTTATGTATGACTATATTCGTTTAGAAAGACCTCCAACTCTAAATTAAAGCCTTGATTGAGTTATACTTAGTTTTTTTTCCCTTTACTCTTATTAAGAATGGTATCCATCTGTAAATATGTGCAAAATAAATCGTTCAATAAGAATATTTTGTAACTCTATCTATTATATGAAATTCTGCATTCTCTTCTAAAATAAAATTGAGTTATACGATAACAATTCCTTTCAGAAGATAAATGAGAACCGTATCACCAAATAAACATTTTATGTGCAACAAAACGTTTTGTGTAATTCTTTTGGCAATTTTAATGAGGGTTTTAAAAGACACCAAATTAAAAAAAAGAAGAAAAAAGGTGAACTTTGATAGGGGTAAACCCTTCTCCTAAAACCACATCTTCCTTATGAAAGATTCTTTCCCCATGCCATTTCTCACAATTTATCTGCTCGTCATCTCTTCTTAACAAATAAAGAATTTATACACCTGCGTTTCCCCCCATTTAATTATTTTGATTTTGTGCCCGAGCATTTAATTTTTTAAAGCTTGGTGGTATCAACTTTGCTAATTAAATTTGAATCAAAGCCATGCATGAATGTGTATTAAATGTTGAGATGTACGTTAACCAAGGTATATATGTATCTTTAGATGTCATGTATGCATTTACGTTGTATAATGACCAGAAGTTACTTAGATTCATGAATCTATCATGAAATTTATAAGTTATGATTTTTTATGGATAGTGTGAAGAGTGCTATTTATCACACCTTTTTTTTAATCTCTATCTCCCCCTTTTCTCGTCGTCTAAATATATAGTAGCTGCATACAATTAATATTAATATCTCGCGCTCTGATTTTTTATGGGAATGTCAATAAAGGAATAAAGATTATGTGAACGTAACTTCCAAATTCGTTTGATTCATCGTATATTAACTTAACCAAAAAAACTAAAAAATAAAATATACCTTTAAATACATAAATATAATAAATGCAAAAGTTCCATAATATGATTCTTTCAGATGTCGTAAACTTCATGTTGCTCGCAAGTAGATTTTTCAGAAAACCTATGAAGAGCGGAGCACAGCTCTCTCATTGCGCTTTTAAAAAGAATTCATAAAATTAAAATTCTAAGAATTAAAATCATTACATTCCATATTAATTAGAGATTTATTATGTCTTTTAAGTATATAAATAATAGCAGGCTCGAGCGACTAATCCATCCTAGCGTCTGTGTGCTACTAAAGCTCGATACCTAGCTTTGCTCTAATCTGCAACTTCTTCAGTCCGTACAAACCACAGATTCTTAGAAGCGAGGTATGTTCATAACTTCCCAACAGTAGTGTTCGTTTCTTCTTCTTGTCTTTTGCGCTTGGAACTTTCAACTGTGATTTCACTCCATAGAACGCTGCAAATCGAACACTTTGTTCTAATCTTCCACTTAGTTCAAGGTGAAATCAACAAGCTTTGTGATGATTGATATCTGCTGTGCTGCTTGTTCATTTGTTTTTGTCTTTGCAGAGAGCATTTGAATATGAGGAAGAACAGCAAATCAGGTGTGAGGGATTGGAAGGATATGAGCTACGACGTGTTGCTGAGAATCTTCATGACCCTGGATGTGGTGGATTTCGCTGTTGTTTCCATGGTTTGCACCTCCTGGCGGGATGTTTGCCAAGACCCTTCGTTTTGGGACGGAAAAGAGTTAGATCTGGGCACCTGGAAAGATCCAAGAATTTGCAACTTAAGTTCAAGGACTATTTCGCTCTTGACGTCTCTTTTAAATCTCAGCTGCGGCCGAGCACATTGTCTCATATTCAAGTTTCAACAGTATTTTGACGATCGCGACTTCATTAATGTTGCTAAAAGGTAATGTTTCATGTTTTTCTCCACACTCCTGTTGACTTAAAAAGTTATGATTCGGGATGCCTTGTGATTATATGCAGCCATATGAATAACCTTTGATGCATTATTATTATCTGTATAAACAACCTTCCTGCAGAGTATATATAGAACAAAAACCATGTGGACCAAAGAGGTCTCCCTCTCGCTCTGAATTAAACTCTCCTTTTCTTCTTCGTAGGAGCCGTAATCTGAAACGGCTAGTTCTGCCTGGGTGGTTTACAGATCTCACAAAAAAGGGAATCAATCAAGCAATGGAGCAGTGGGAAGCGCTAGAGTCGATAACAATTACTAACACTTTCACAGCTCCTTTTTTTCTGGAAGCCATAGGCAAATACTGTCGCAATTTCTCAGAACTAAAGCTAACTTGCCATTTGACCTTAAAGATCGCCAGAACACTGACGAAGCATGTGCCAAAGCTTAAGGTATTGAGTCTTCAATCGGTGAGGATGAACAAGAATGCTTTGGTTTACTTGGTGAGGCAGTTGAAGGAGTTGCAGGTGCTTAATGTGACTCACGGTTTCATCATTTCTGGGAATCGACCAGACAATACCATAGTACACCCACAACATGCGGTTCCAATATTGCTGCAGAACATTCCGAGAAAGCCGACGTTAATGAACTGTAAAGGCCACTGTCTCAAGTGTCAAGAAGTGTTTATTTGGAATATGATGAACAAATGGAGGGAACCCAAAGAGCTTATTTGGCGCAACGATGTGATCCCTACATTTCGAGCTTGAAGTGGCAAAATCAAATCTTATATCGTTATATTCATATGTCTAGCAAGCTGCTTATTTAATTTCATGTAACAATCTTCAGAAGTAGGTCTTATAAACTATGAACTATGTATAAAGTTGCACTGTTAACAAATCGTCAATAATATTATGCAGCTTATTTATCGTATTTGTGCAATGTCCAAGGCCCAACTATATATCTAGTGAATAAAAATAGATTTCCAAAAAAAAATCAATATATATGTTGTCACAATACTCTACTCTTCGATTTGAAGGGGAAAAAAATTATTTTGTGTATTGTTATATCTCTAACAAATAACCCGTCATGCACCTTCACCAACTTTTAAGATAAAAATTGTCAAATGTGATGAGATAAACTCATTGATATATCGTTATTAGCGGTACAAAGCTTCAATAATTATTTAGACCAAACCCCAAGCATTGCGGTTTGAGTGAAATTTTACTAATATTTATAGTCTTCTATCCTTTTTGCCGGTTTTTTTTAATTATATCAGGATAATTCAAATTGTATATTTCTATTCATACCTCGTCCTTGAATTTACCACTTCAGTTACTCTTCAGTGGCTATTAATTTGGACCTAACAAATAATCAAGTCAATTAGAGGTAATAGTGTCAAAAATAAATCCACATCTGATATATATATATATATATATATATATCTGATATTTTCAAATGCGGCGTCATAGATATCTCATTGCGTTCTTATTGTTTAGTCAAGGAGACAATGTACTTAAGTTGAAACTATTTTGTAAATTATGTTAATCACTCACTATAATTAGAATAAAATACTTATTTAAATCCGTGTATGCTTCATTTTTAATGCAGAGCCTCTGACAATGCAAATAAATTCTAGTCAAAACAGCTACATATAATTGAAATGAATCTATCCCACCACGTCTTCTTGGGGAAAGGTTTAGGTTAGGTTCAATGGCTCCATGACCAAAAATTCAAATTTTGAGATTTATCACATCTTATGAGTTATGGTAATAAAATGAAGTAGTATCATTATCAATTAAGTTAGATGGCAAAATAAGTAGCATATTTTTTTTTGTTTAACAAACAGTTACAATTTTTCCTTCAGAACATATATGTAGATGATAAACCCCGAATTAAACCTTAATTATCGCAGCTGTCATCAATTGCTTCCAAAGAAAAATCTACTTATTTTTTGTTTGGTTTGCAAACTATTTCATATGTAGTAATGCTGAGTCATCTAGATTTTTGTATTATCACATCCAAAATATATTGGATCTTCTATCATTAAGGATATTTTCAACTCACTTTGGATTTAAGACTACTTTTTTTTTTAAGACTTAGTTAGAACGCAAATAGTTTTCATATTTTTCTATAAGTGCGCTTTTAAAGTTTGTATTTGAATTTTAATATGAAATGAAGATTATTAAAGCGATTTCATCTCACGGAAAAATTAAAAAAAAATTACTGATCGCTCTACTTTTGTGGAATTTACATGTCAAAAGCGAAGTGTGTAATACTATAACGTATATCTACTCAACATTTATTTTGTTTTTTTTTTTACCAGCAACATTTATTTTGTGAAATGCTCAGCTGTGTCAATTTATGATTCATTTATATGTACGCAAAAGCTCGAATAAGGTGGAAGTAGAAAAATACTATTAACTCAAGTCCCAACTTGACGAACGTTATAAACGGAGACCAGTTTCGTACTCCATCTATGTCGTTGATATGTGCTTCGGATCTTGTCTCTTGGACTCCTTCATTTCTAGCAGAAATAGGGAAAGACAGCTAATTGGTTCTGATCAGAAGTGAGGTATATATGCTTATAATATGCTTATTTCTTCTCTAGAGTTTTCTTTACCCCGTTTTTTTCATTTGTTAACTAATATTCCCTCTTGAAGTTTTGTCCAGGCAAGTTTCGAGTAATCGCAAGAGCAAGACGGATCAGAAAAGCTAATTAAGGTGAACTCCATAATTTATTAATGTTCTAGCTTGGAACTCTCTTAGCTTATTGTGGGTTGAGTAGTTAATTATTTCTTGCTTCCCTCATGAATTCTCCAAACCCGAGAGTTCTCTTCTTTTCCGCAAACCCATTCGTAGCTTATTGGATTTCTAATTCCTAGCCAGTGTTCCCCCCGGCGCCCCCCGGGGGGGGGGTGTTTCCAAAATCGTCCAAGGATAATGGGTTGGAATTCATCTTGTCTTATTAATATATATAATGTGCTTAGTAAAGCTATAATTGCACCGATTAACTTAAAACCAAAACCCTAAATTTACAAGGTGATGAAATCAGTACTTCTCCATTGTTTTAAATAAGTGTACAAATTTTCCTTCTTTTTTTTTATCCTCAAGCAGGCCAGCTCAAAAACTTACTGTAATACCCACCATTAAGGTATATGTAATAATAAATGCCAAATTTATATTAATATTATAATTTATAGATGTATAACGTTTTATTAAATCTTACTATTTTCTTTCTTTTCTTGCCAACAAACGTTTACAATTTTCTAAGGTACTACCATAGCATTCTATACCGATTAATTGCTGTCAAGTCAGATAAACCTTTAAGCAGAACAAAGGCCTAACCATTAATATATTTTTTTCACTCATAGAATTTCAACACAATATATGTTTTTTTTTATAAAAAAAATTGGATTCCTGGTAAAACGTAGCTAGATATATCATATGTGTGTGTGTGTATTTTTTATAAAAGACAAAATGATATATATATGTATATATAATCTCAAATGTATAAACAAATCCAATTTATATGCCATAAATAATATATACATCTCATCTTAAACTAAGAGAGAGGTCAAATGGTTTGTAAGATTTTTTTTTTTTTGGTTCTATCCAATTTGTTTCTCTCCAGTTTCCTCCAGGCGAGTTAAAATACGCCAATAACCTCTTTTTAAGGGTTTCATTATATTATATATTTAATAATTTGCTACATTCTTATCCACATTTAGGTTACGATTGAGTATCTCTTACCGGAGAGAATCATTTCCCAGATTTGTATTCTCACTGTGGTAGACCCAATAAACCTCCCTCAGAAGAAAACAAAGTACAGCAGGGCATGACTTGCCCAAGCGGCTACTTTATAGTCACAGATCCATGAACGTTACAAACAGATGAGAGGTTATTGTGAAGTTTATAAGAGTACATCTGCTTCATTGGTGCTTCACAGTTTTTCTCTCTGCAGCATCTTCATATCCAAGAGAGACAAGAGACCATCAATCCGAAATTCTTAGTAGTGAGGTCAGTTTATAAATTCTGAAGAATTTTCTGTTCTGCCTTTTTCCCCCCCATGTATTTCTTCCCTGTGAAGAACTCCATAAAATTTGATTGAATTAACTGATTTAATTATAGTTGGCTAATCAAACTCTTGTTCAGTTCCCTTCACGGGTTCTCTAATCGTAGTTTTTCCGAACCCATTGCTTTTTAATTTCTTGGAGCTTATTAATTGGTATCCTTTGCCCTAACCCTTTTTTCCTTTTGCTTAATCTCTGGCAGTAAACCTAAGGGATGATGGGATAGATCAATTCCACTCATCTTACACGCGCGCGCGCGCGCGCACAGTGTTTGGTAAAGGTTATAACTTGAAACAACTTATGCCAAAACCCTAAACAAGCAATTGCGAAATCAGTGCTTTACTATAATTTCTTTTGTTTCTCCTGCTAGAAATTCAAACTAGGACAAAGACTTCAAGAAAACAAAGACGATCAACTTCGCTGAGAAATTATTTTAAGTAATGTCGTCAATAATTTCGAGTTGCGAAGTTTCCTGGAGGCAATGATTGATCAACTATATAGCTACTTTTTCTGTCTCGTTTGCTTTTATATATCATTAAGTAAATTTTCGATGTGGTTTTATTTGCTTTTACTCATTAGCCATATATTAATGTATAACCAATAAGACCATGGAGACTGTGTAGATGAAAGAATTTTTTTGTTTTTAAGATTGCAGACAGCATTTGAATATGGGGAAGAACAACAAATCACCTTCGAGAGATTGGAAAGAAATGGACTATGAAGTGTTGTTGAGAATCTTCATGACTCTCAATATGGTGGATTTCGTTGCTGTTTCTTGGGTGTGCAGCTCCTGGCGAAAAGTTTGCCAAGACCAAGTGTTTTGGAATGGGAAAGTGTTAGATCTTAGCAAGTTGCCTTTGCAACTCACCCAATCAAGTCCCAGGATGATTCAGTTCTTGATGTACGTTTTATATCTCAGTGGCGGCAAATTAGGTTATCTGATATTCGACTTTCGTCTACCTTTAACCGATGGGATCTTCATTAACATTGCTAGAAGGTAATGTTCTCATAACTTTCTTCAAACTGCTTAGAGCTTTAGATTTCAAAAGCCACGAACAGGTTCTAGTGTGACATTATTTTGAAGCCGCGCTTGTATATTGCATTCCTGCAAAGTTAACCTGCATAGAAGAACAGTAAACCGTACATGTTGACAACAGTGTGACAAGATGATATGCTCTAAATGTCATTATTTTCTCGTAAGATTCTTGCTCGGTTGTATGGGAACTTCAATAGTGATGATACTTAAGTCTTCATAATGATACTTCTATGACAGATTCTTACAAAATCTGTCGTGTGGATCGTCTCGCCCCCATATTCTACCTTTGATTCTCATGGATAACACTTCGACCGAGCAGCTCATACATATACTATGGAAGTGTTATAATGATATAATATAAATATAAATACTGTCTTTTGTTGTAGGAGTGTTAATCTGAGGCGACTTCTGCTACCAGGACGCCATCTGCAGCTCACAGATGCAGGAATAAAAGAAGCGATGCAGAATTGGGAAGGGCTAGAGTCGTTCACAATCACAGACAGCGAAATTGCTTGCAGCATTATTGAGGCCATAGGCAGATATTGCCGGAGAAGCTTTCGTGAATTAAAGATAACCTGCCATTTCTCGTTGAAGATTGCGCTCAAACTGATAAAGTATGTGCCCAAACTTAAGAGACTGAGTCTTCAGTCCACAAGAGTGAACAAAGATGCTCTGGTTTTCGCGGTGGCTCAGTTGGGAGAACTGGAAGATCTGAATGTGTCGCACAGTTTCATTGTTGGAGGCGATCGGCCAGAAAACATCACAGTATTCTCTCAACATCAAGTGCCAGACATTCTGGTGGGTGAGGTGCTGAGAATGCCGAGGATAATAAGCTGTGGACTCTTCTGTAATATGTGCGAGGATGTGTTGTTTTGGAATATGGCAAATGAATGGGAGAACCCCGAGGAGCAAATTTGGCGCGAAGATGAGATATTAACTCTTCGAGTTTAACTAGCTAGAAGCAATTAAATAAGACCAGGTAGGGAAATCGGGGGGGGGGGGGGAATCTTATGTATGCCTAGCAATATATGAATGAGCTGGCTATTTCCTGCAAACAACTTTCGTCTATATTATTTTTATTATATCTATAATTTTCGTCGTACCGATTGAATGTGATTTAATTAAAAAAAACGAAGAGTTTGTGTTTTAGCTTTCTTTTAGCATATAAATATTTTAACACGTGAGAGTGAAAAATATCTTCTAGCGTTATAAAATTTCAATCATAAAGTGAATTGTAGACCAAACATGTAGTAATATCGAAATGAAATTTCCATAAAAAACTACGTCATATGCTTATTAAAAAGTTCAGATCTCATTTGATGTTAATGCAAATCCCTGACTATGTAATTAACACCAGTCTCATATTAAAACAGAAACATAAAATCATAATTAATGTCTTGCACGCTATGTCCTTTTCGGGATTGGCGCGCATAAATATGAATTGAACTTCAAAATTTTCAATTTATCACATACTACGTTTTTTATTATAAGATCCTTTAAATTAAATTACACGGTTTAAAAAAACAGTTAAAATTAATTTAAAACAATTAATATGTAATAAATATTTTTTTTACAAATATACCCCTATATATAAATGGATAGATATGATGGAGTAATAGTGAGAAAAATAAAAAAGAGAATATATTAAATGTATTAAACTATGAGTAAAATAGATAATAATACATTAAATATTCAAACAAACTCAAGAGAGATTTTATAAAAAAGAACAAACCTATTCAAAAATTTGAATTTTGTAATAAAGGACGAAGGGAGTATTATCAAATAAATATCCATCTTTAGAGTATATTCGTATAAAATAAAAGTCCAATTTATGTGATATATAATGACAAAAAAAATTATGTAAGATGATCCTTAAGAGATCTAAACAAGGACATAGGACATGAGACTTGTCCGAAAGTATTATTTGGTTCCAATTTCCTGACCGCTTGTCTCTTTTTCTTGTCCACATAACATCTTCATTCTTTGACTAACAATTAAATTGTATTACAAACAAATAAATAAATTTAAGTTGTTAATATATCCAATAATTCAATGTTCATTCATTAATAAAATAAAAAAATACGTCTACTTCACATGTATTTATAAATGAAATTAAAGCCAAGAATACATCCGCTTATGTTTATTCGTTAGCAACATCAAAGGATACATTAGCTTCATGTTTCGTTCATTAATTAATGGATTGGAAGTTCTTTATGTTGTCTCATGGTTTCATATTTGTTTGAAGGAATCGAAGGTTGTGTTAGATCTCAGAAGTCAGAAACTTGACTCTCTACAATTAGAAGCTGAGCGATGATCCTCAATTATTACCAGTGGGCCGTTCGAGTTCAAACTTCATTCAATTCTTCAAAGTATGTATATTCCAGTGTTTTTGTTGCTCAAACGTACGTAACATGCTTTCATTAATTCAGGACGAGAAACCACCTTCGACAATACATCTTATTTTACATAACTTCTGAAAGTGCTATATATATAGATAGAGGGAGAGAGCTTTTTCTTGTACGAGTCTTGATCTGGGTTTAAAAAAGTGTTTTTATGCAATGCACGGGGGTCTGAAAACTACACAGAAATGGAAATGAATTAGAGGCGTATATAGCTACGCGAGTTTCAAGTATAAAACTATTAATTAATATCATCTAGCAAATAACTCGTCGCCTTCGCCAACTTAAAGTCTAAATGAGCTGGTCAAAATATTATTTCATGCGAAACTTTTACCTATATTTTCTTTTAATACTCCTTTGATTCTTAATATATAAATTGTTGAGTTGATTTTAATACTAAATATAATACTTATTTTTCATATTTATTAGCTTTTTCTAAATTAGTCCTGTTGATAATATCTAAAGTTTTCTTGGCATTTAACAGATTCCAATGCGACATTAACATTCTTTTTAAGAGTGCTACAAAATCTCAATCAAATCTTGCGATGAGTTTATCTATTTCTTTGTATGATTTTCTCCCAAAAAAGGGCTCATATATATATATATATATATATAAATCTTTATATGATTTATCCATGATATTATAGACCCGTATTCCATTACTTGAGTAATGATAACCCAGCAGTTCATGTTGTTGCAGCAATTGATGATAGGTGGCTCTTTTCTTTTCTTTTCTTTGTTTTTTTTTAAACCTTCTTTTACTTTTCTCCATATTAAGGTTTAGTTCAAATGTTTCCTAAAATTAAACGATGGGAACACATGAAGGCATAGGCTCATTGATTTGAAGGGGAGATATATTCTTAGAAAGATGCATGTTGGAGGTGTACTAAAGCAAAGTAAATTAAGTTAGGAAGAAATGGATATATGAAAAGTAAAGTGAGGAATGAGTTCCTCTTAAAAATTTATGAATTGAAGTAATTTACTTTATGGGGCAGATTTTAAGTGCACTAATCTATTCTCCTGATCATGAAATAAATCCAGAGCGAGAACGTTCTGTATTTCTAAAAAAAGAAAAAAGAAAAAGAAAGAAAGAAAAAACAGCTTTAAGAGGTGAGAACTTTAAATTCATGCCATAATTTATTTAAAATGTTTTACAAGCAAAGTTACTCCCGGGTGTTTTTGAATTCCTTTATCCAGCTGCAATCTTTGGGGGGAGGAAAACTAAAATTTTTTAAAAGTCTACTTAAAATAGGGTTTCCCCTTGTTTTATTCAGTTTTTTATTATTTTCTTTTGAAGTTGTTCAGGAGTCTTTTTTTTTTTGGACCTGATTTTAAGAGTCATTAAACCTTAGTAATTGCCCAAAAAACCTTTTTAGACTCCACTAGTTACAAAAAGTAATTAAAAAACACGCTTGGCCCAACCTAGGAGGCTAGGACACGAGTCCGGAGGTGTGTAATCTTAGATATATAATTATATAATTCTCAAGCTGCAGTGTAATCTGACCAAAAATTTCAGAGTGAAGTTCGATGTACCTTTGAATGTTTGGTGTCAATTCATCTCGGCCTCTTTCGTCTTCACATGGAACTAGGCATTTCTCTATAGTCCACTATTTCAAAAGAGAAGAGAAGAACGAAACCCACTGAAACGACTTTGCTAGTTTTGCTTCCCTAACTGCCATCCATATTCATTGCGCCATCGACCTCAGCTTCGCGTATTCTGAGAATTACGAGGTAGATATTACCACTTTCTTTCAGGTTTTGTTCTCTTTTCCTTATATTTTCTATGGGATGTTCTCGAAAGTGTACTGTCATTGCTGCTCTTTTTTGGCAAGAAAAATTTCATTAATTCAATTGTATTTGGGAGGCAGAGCATGCGACAAAGTGCTAGTTCTTAATTAATTGTATGATTTTGAGGCTTGTTTCGTCTGTCGTCAAGTTTTCTCGCGTGCCAAACTGATCTCTATTCCGTCATAGCACAGGCATTCTTCTGTAGGCTCAGTTTATCTGTACTCACAAGTCAGTGTCCGCTCTTCATACTGCAAGTTTTTTTTTTTTTAATTGCTCATTATCACAATTTTTTTTTTTTAAGCGTCAGAAGGATCCATAGATGTGGGAAGGTGAGGCTGCACAAGAAATTTTCCTGTTTTGCTATTTTAAGTTGTTAATTGGAATTCAATGGGCGGAATAACTTATTGCTTTTTCCCCCCCTCCAAATATGTAAAACATTTGGAAATACTGCTGAGTGTCTGGTTTTATATGTGCATGTTCATGTGTTGCCAAGCATTGAAGTCCCAGTTGATTCCAATTTGTTAACCTTCTTAAGTTTTTACCTGTCTCAACTGGTTAGCATTTGAAAGGATGTTCATAGGTCACGCTGATGCTCTATCAGAAATGAAGTCATTGAAAGATCAGATAGTTGTAGATCCAACCTCTGAACTAAGTGATGATGAAGACGAAGACTCTGTGGAACAAATCATTTATACAGCTTCCTTTCAAGAACTTGCGGGAAATAGCGTTCAATATGACACTGTCATATGGCTCTCTGTATCGCTGTTGCTGATTTTAGCTTGGGGTGTGGGACTTATTATGTTGCTTTACCTGCCCTTTAGGAGATATGTGCTTCAAAAGGATTTATCTTCTCGTGAATTGTATGTTACCCCTACTGAAATAGTTTACAAGGTATATCAGAACTTCTGTATGATCATGATGCTTTATATGATTTCCTAGACTGAAGAGCGACAGTGAAGTGATTTGCTTTTCCTTTTCTTCCTTGATCAAGGTGTCAAGGCCTTCCTTCATACCCTTTTGGGGTATTGTTACAATTGAGAAGCACGTGCCTCTTGCTTTGGTGATCGATATTATTATTGAGCAAGGTACTGATACAGGACTTATTGCATCCTATTTCAAATGGATGAAAGATGATGTTTTCATACACAAAATAATTTGCATTTATATTCTGGTTTTGTTATTTGAGACATTTGTTTATAATTTTCATCATCTTCCATACTGCAAAGAATCCTATGGAGCTCGTTATGCACAAGCTTTTTGTCTTTGTGGTCTGATTGGAAGGACTTTATAAATGCTTTTCTCAATTATATATTTGAAATCTAACTCAGATTAACAATTCATAAGGTTGTCCTATAGTTGCTTCAAAATTTATGTCAATGGTTTACCTATATAAAATTTTCTTTTGAAAACCTTTCAGAAGAAGAGAGGTTTTATTGGCCAAAGAACACAAAAGTCGAGTGAAAAGAGATAATGAAGCATGTGCTTCTAACATCACCTATTTGCTGTTCTGTGGTGTCTACTGATATACTTCCTTTAACCGGAACACCTCTCTGCTTATACCAGGTTGCCTGCAGTCTAAGTATGGAGTTCATACTTTTCGAGTTGAAAGTATAGCACATGGAAAAGCTGCACCTGTTGATGAACTTCTGGTTCAAGGGGTTTCTGACCCTGATATATTGAAGAAGGTTAATTAAGATATGTTTCTCAATATGATTTCTCTTTTAATATATATAATATGTTTATGACTGACTTAGTTATATTCATTGTCTTTGCTAAATAGGGCCTATCACATTATGTTGTATTGATTATTATTACATTATGTGGCATCATACTTCAACCAGAGGATGAACAAGATCATCTTCTCAAAATATTGCAGTTAACTTGCAGGTGATCATAACAGCAGCTTCAAATAACTCACAAGATGGAAGAACAAGTTGGAAAGCAACTGTTCAGAGCGTAGATGTGGAAACATTGACTGAGGGATCAGTTGTTTTGAGATCACCATCTAAATCTCTGAAGGTAATGGCAGACCTACTTGCATGCCTAATTCACCTGTTTGACAAACTTGTTCTACTGATGTATCACCCAGGATCCTAGAACCCTGGAAAAATAAAATCCCAGCAATATAACTAAAGACACGGAAGGAAATAAATGAGAAAATGATACAACTTTTTGTTCAAAGAGTCATACAAGAAATGATTTTGAAAGAATGGTGTTATCACCAAAACGGTAAAAATCTTGTGAAAAAGTAAAGCTCCAGTATTTTGTAACTTCTTATATTCCCCCCCGCCCCCAACCTCCGTTTTGGCTGACCAGTTTGTTGTTGTCCATATCATCCCCTTAGAGATGTACTGGCTTTGTAATCATTAAGTGGCCCTTTAAGGAAGCAAAGTTGAAGTCTTTTGCAAGTTGTTTGAGTTAAAGAAGTCTAATTAGAAGAAGATGCACAACCTGTTTTGAGAGTTCAGATTAGACAATGCAAATTGGGAATTTTGCTCTAGATGATCTAATACATAGATACATTGTATCCTATTTTGAATTTATTGATTCAGAACCATTCTAAGCTTAAAATTGATGAGCTTGAATAGAATAAACCGTGGTCTATTATACTTTCGCAACAAGAATCTATATTAGACTATTAGTGTGTTAAAAGAAAGCGGCTTTATTGTTGTGTATGTTTGACTAATATTTGGGTAAAGTTGTCTGGCTTTGTGGGGAGACTACTTTTATTATTGTGGCCCATGACCTATGATCCAATAGTATTGATCATTACTTTCTCTTGCCAATTCATGGACAAACCTGTCCCTGCTTTGGTTCTTGCGACGCAGAAAGGTTATCACTTATTACTGAAAATAGTCCAGATGGAGGGCAATCCGTCACCGTACACCTTACCACAAGGCATTCTCTTCCCTAATCGAATTATCATCACTTTCATGCCTGGATAGATTGACTGAATTGGGAAATAGTTGGATTATTGTATTAATAAAATGTTGAAATGTAAAGCATATCTAGATCTATTTCCTGGGGAGAAATCCAGATTATTAGGAGAACAAGAGCTGGGACACAACAGATCTTGAGGCACTATTACGGTGTCAAACAACTCAAAACTTGGAAGCAAAGTATTGGAAGACAATAGATTATTTTTCCTATTATTTAGTTAAATTGTCGAAGCAGCTTATGAAGTTTGTGACTTCATGATTAGATGATAGCTCAGAATTTGTTTTCTTTTCTTTTTAAATTATGATATTTTTTATATTTAAATTATTTTCAGATTGAACTAATATCACATGCATTGCTTATATTAATGGAAAATCCAATTGATTTGTACCCTTCCACGTAATACAGATGATGAGCCCACCGCAGTCTGCTTCTCGAGAGCGAAGGGCACCCAGTAGATTGGTGCTTAATAGACTTGAAGAAATCAATAGAACAGTAAAGGTCTGTATGTTATTTTACTTGGGCATGGGGATTTATATTTAAGTCATTATATGCTTATTTCTTCCCCAATACCTTTCATTGCAGATACCATATTTCAACATAAGGAAAACAGATTTTATTAGTTTCATTTTGGAAATTTTATTTCCTTGGAAGTTTTCATAATTCTATTTTATGATCAATCATTGACTCAAATTTCACGATGTGGTCGATGGATTAATCTTCTCTCTCTCGTGGATTAATTATGTTTTTGTTTGAGTATGCTTACAAGAATAAATTTCTATTTTGGTTCCTCATTTGAATGGTCTTTCTCAAGTTGATCCTCTGAAGGAAAACAAACTAACCGGTATTCCTCACAAGATATTGTCTCCCTTCTAGTCCTAGTTAATATGCTGCTACCAAAATCGATCAAATGAGTGACCAGTATCATTAATGCTAATAGCATTTGACCATCGACTACATTTTGTAACATTTCATTTGGCTCCCGTGCTGGTCAAAACCCTCCATATGGAGACTTCTCCAGAATTGCTAATCACCAGCTTTAGTACAAATTGATAATGAGGGATGCCGAAGTGAGATGGGGAACTTACTCTCAAAAGCTAATTACTATGGTGAGAGAAGCAATCCACCTAAATACCTCATAGACTGGCTCATACTATTGAATGGAGAGTTGGCATCTCGTATATTTTCGTGATCTCCATCAATGTTTGGGAGAAGCACATGGACTGTAGGACGCTAGACCAGAAACTTATGCTTGGAAGACTGATTTATTTTATTTTACTTTTACTTTCTCAAGAAACAACCTGAGAATGACCCCATTAGCGACGAACCAAATTAGGATTGACTCATTCATACTTATTTTGGTGGACGAATTAATCAGTAGGTCAGTCCAACGCTATTAATCATGGCATTAGTAACATGCACCCGATATTTTTATAATCCCACCCGAGCTGCTGCATAACTGGTGGCATCTATGTCCGATACTTTAGTATTATCGTTTATACTTTAACTGCCTTTTCTTCCTTCTATGTTCATGAACAGAGACTTGAGCAGCATTTTGAGAAGTCATATGCTCCCCCGGACAGCAGCTGAATCAAGATTCCATTGGTTCGTTGGGCTGGAATTTCAAATTATTTGTACTTTATTTGCTACTACCTTTGACATTTCTGTATAGATCGTGTCTTATATCTGTAGGCATGTATATGATTGGTTTTGACTCTGGTCGAAAGTTCGATCTTCAAATGATGATGCCCTTTACAAAACGGTGGCTGAACTGGATTGTGGATGATGGATGAGATGCATTAACCAAATATGAAATCATAGTTATAAACTTATGTTCTGATACAGTTGCAGCATGATCCATCAGGACCTTCTTTGAACCTGGAATCCGATGAGTGTTTTTTTTTTTTGCCCCCGGTATTTTCTTCAACCATTCAGTTTCCGAAAGTCACGTTAAACTCGACTATCTACCACAACAAATGAATTATAGGATTTAATTTATAGGTCTATTGCACGTCCTTCGAACGATAAACAAAAGCAAGCACGCTTATGTTTTTTTAAAAAAAAAAACACGTTCCATTAGCAGATGCGACTGGTAGCATTGGTGGTAGGATCAGAATCTAAATGTCTTGTCAGTCCAAAAAAAAAAAAAGAATCTAAATGTCTTGAGCTAGATTATGAGCAGCTGAACTACAAGTGGGATAAGGAGATGCAGTCGCTGGGTGATAATTCACGCCTTAAAAATCAGCCTGTGGTGGTTCCCATGGTAATGATTTATATAAATGAGTTATAAATACTACATTCAATAAAAATTTTAAAATTTTGGCCAAAAAATAAAAATAATATTTTGATTTATATCAAGAGATTTGTTTTTGATATAATTTAGAGTATTCTCAAATCATTTTGGATTTAAAACTAATCTTTATCAAATCGGAAGTATTAGCTTGTGTTCTTCTCTTTATCGGAATGAGACTTCTTACTATTTCAATCATATCATATATATTTCAAGAATAAAAAGTATATAACTTTTATTAAGTTTGTAATATCCGTGATTTTCTTATTAATCAAAATCAAATTAAGCTAAAATTTTTTGTAAGCATATAAAATATATCGGCGACTTTTTATTATTAGATGCTTATTTAATATTTACTGTTGGCTTATTATTCAAGTTATTTATTATTTATAAAAAAAATTATTGTACTGGTCTCTATATTAATTAATTATTATTTATTTATCTAATTTTGTAATTTTAATACTATTTCGTATTATTTTTTCTTTTATTTCAGGACAGTTATTCGAAAATTGATCCCTGTTGGACCTTTTCTGACAGCAATCCCCATGACTCGTGGGAAACATTGGACAAACTTGTAATAATGATTGAAAGCTCTCCGTTATGTAAAGAAATTTCCCCCAACAAAATTTTCAGTGATTGAGATTCGAGGAAGATGAGTAAGAAGAAGGTCCTCATAGTCGGAGGCACTGGATATTTGGGTCAGCATCTATTACAGGGCTATGCAGATATCACTGGAAGACCATATGATCTGGCATTCACCCACCGCTCCTCTCCACCACCTCAAGTTTTGTTGGACGCCATTTCTGGTTCACTTGCTTTCCCTGTAGATTTGAAATCGGGAAGCGGATTCGAAGCCATTTCAAAGACATTTGGTCAGGTTTAGTTGTCAACACCCACTCAACAGCTGAAAGTGGTTCCTTTCTGTGTCCTTGTGCTTGGTCTCGTGTTCTGTTTAATTTAAGTGGTCTAATTAATGTACTTTCTCTATATTGCTTACATGTTCTCAGGTGCAATTTTCTTTTTTTTGGGTGGGGCCGTAGTAGCATCAGTCCTGGATTAACAATTAGTCTCTTCCCTTTGTCATCCTGGCTTTGAGGAGCATGTTCTCATCTGGATAGTTGTTTCATCGAGTGGATTATGAATACTCGTAAAATATTGAGTATTATACAACCAATCACACAACCATCAATCTTTCATCCCACTATATATATCTCTCAAGGGTGATGCATGCTTTGTATAAAAACAAATAGGGAAATAAACAAGGATGACTATTCATGCGTTATTCTTATGGTATGTACAATTCTGTTTCTTTCCACTACTCACAATTTGTTTCTCTAATTGTTTCCCTAATGGCAGCCTGATGTGGTTGTCAACTGTGCTGCCATCTCAGTGCCTCGTGCATGTGAACATGATGCTGATGCTGCTCTTGCCATCAACGTGCCATCATCTCTTGTTAAATGGTTGCAGCGCTTTAACGAGAAAAGTACACTTCTCATTCATTTGTCCACCGATCAAGGTAAGCAAACTTTAACATGGCTGAGTAAGCTGAAAGGTGACGTCAGATGTGGAAATCTGTTAAATAATAAACATATGGAAGTTTTAGCTCAATTGAAACTCACTGAACAACAATGGACTTTCCTAGAATTTGCTAAAGTAATATCTTTGTTCTGATTTATATTCTGCAAATGTCAATACGAATGAAGTGAGTGCTCCCATTACAGAATAAATTCTGCTTGGACAGTGCTAGAGTTCCTGGCAAAAGCTCTCATGTCTTTGAATTGTTTTACTAGGGATTCTTTTAGATCGTATTGCTTAAATCTGTTGAACCTGTTTTCTGTATGCTTGTCAACTAACCAAGCTTGTAGAAGCAAGTGGGATTTCTACCACAAGTGTTGCTAATGCTCCTAGGAATAATAATTCCTACCAAAATTACTTTTGAAGAGTGGGGTTGCATTTCTGCAAATGATTCTCATTTCATCAGCTGCATATGCTAAGAAATGGGAGTGAATAAAGGAAATAGATAGAATATTAATGTTCCCGCCTCCCGCCTCCGCTCAGTTCTCTCTTCTGTTGTTAAGGTTTATTGTTCTTAGCTTTTATTGTCATTTCTGTGGGGGAAATTTTAATAATAACATGTGCATATGGTTTGTTTCTATCTGTTTGTTATATTAGGATAAAAGATCATCTTCATTGCTAGGCTTTTGTACATAATTCACATATTGTTCCTGTAATCCGTTTACACTTTGCTTTTTTACTAGATCGTGATTGATGTTTCTCCTTGTCAGTTTATGAAGGGGAGAAGTCCTTTTACAAGGAGGATGACGTTGCTGTTCCAGTAAATGTTTATGGAAAAACTAAAGTGGAAGCAGAAAAATTCATCATAGAACAGTGTTCCAACTTTGCTATTTTGAGAAGCAGTATCATCTATGGGCCACAGACGATCTCACCAGTTCCAAAATCTCTTCCTATTCAGGTGCATGCACTGTGTATGGACTTTCTATTCTATTCTGTGTTGGCTGACTATTGCTTCCAGCCTCTGGCTAACGGATGAAAAATATGAAAAACCGAATGCTTGTCAATTTCTGGCCTTTTTTGGTTTTCCTGTGGCATTTTTTCTCTATGGAAGATTACAGAGCTCAAGGTTTCGGCGTTATGCTGGTACTTGAAATTGCTGGAGCCATGGGTGCATGTTCCTATGAATGACATGTCTATGAGGAAATTTATGATGCCTTGATGTGTTATTTATACATCATATTTAACTGATGTAGTGGATGGATGGTGTCCTGTCCAAAGGAGAGAAAGTGAATTTCTTTCATGATGAGTTCCGTTGTCCCATCTATGTTAAGGATCTCGTGGCTATTGTTCTAGCTCTGACAAACCAATGGATATCAGGTAGAACTTTAGTATTTATGCCTTATTGATTTGACATACAGTATATTGCAGAGTTTTTTTCCCGTCATTTGGCATATAACAACCTAATTTTCGACATAATGTTTTTGTTTTTCGTGAATTTTTTTCCCCTACATGGCTGAAACTCAGGTCTGACATTTTATAGTATTTTGTAAAACTCACTGCGTAACATCTGTTCGCACTTTTGCCCTTTCCTTAAGCTCTTTCAGATTCTGTCACGTTTCTGTTTCTTACTCTTCCACTTTCTCGTGTAGTTTATTCTAGTTTTAGGAGGCGAGGCATCTCTTATCTGTGTTCATGAATGTGGCATTTCTGATTCTTGCTGCAGAGGGCAAGCAAATGCAACTGGTACTTAATGCTGGTGGGCCTGATAGGGTATCACGTGTTCAAATGGCTGAGGCTGTCGCACAATTTAGGGGATATGACACCTCATTACTCCAACCAGTGTCTGCATCGTCGGTATGTATTGTATTTATTTGATGGAACGACTATGGCGTACATGTGATGCAGAATTGTTAAATTAAATATCTTTGTTTATTTGCATTACCGGTGTGCTTATCATTGACCTCTCCTTTTCTTATGCCTTGATCATAATTCTGTCCTCATTCCATGTCTTCATATCAAGAAGGTGTCCACTTCCTTCGTTAGGCATTTGAGAACATTTTTGCCCGTCATGAATTTTCTTCTCTCGACTTTCTTGTCAAGGTCAGAAAGTGGAAGAGAAAAATTCTTATATGGGTGAAGGGGATGTATCAAAGTTGCATCTTTATTTATTAGAAACAGATTTATGTGAATTCTATAGGAATTCGCCATTGTTTTCTGAAATGCGGCAACAATAATTTTTTTCCCTAATAAACGTATCTACTGCCTGCTGGTCATATTTTTATGAAGGCTGATTGCAAGCGGTCAACTTGTACCTGAGTTCTATTCTTTATTCTGTGAGACTTTCTGGAATGCGCTTTCTTGAGATTTCATGTTTATATGTTGTTCCCCTTATTTTGCAGGTTGATCGTGGAGTCAGGTCCCCAGCTGACATATCCATGGATATAAGTAGATTGGTCCAGACCCTGAAAATTCATCCAATTCCGTTCGAAGAAGGGGTTAGATTGACACTTGCGTCTGAAGCTAAATAGGGAAGCAAAAGAGGTGTCAAATGTTGCTACATGGTTAGCATGAGTGGGGCGTTACCCTTCTATAGAAATGAACAAAGGCTAATCTATCTATTATTCGTATCATTTGTGGATCTGTAAGGGGGAAAAAAAAATGCTGATATCAATTATTAAATTACAAAATAAATTTTGAGCGGGCCGTTTTTTATGATATCTCTCTCATGATTTCGATCAGGCAAAATTGAAAGGCAGTATTATTAGGCTTTAGTCTTATTTTAATCTCTTAAGTTTATAAAGTGTATTTTTAGTCCTTCAATATTAATACAGTTTTATCTAACGAAAAATAATACTACTTCCAGTCCTAATTATAAGACCTTATATGTAGACTATAAACAAGATTTTATAACTAGGATCACAGTAACTCATTAAATTCAAGAGGTGGGTATAGGTGCCAGGACATGGACAATTAAACACTAACATAATATGCTTGCTTTAATTTTTTTAATACAATATTTTTATATTTTGAATCGT